AAAAAAAAAAAAAAAGTAAAATGGTTGAGGCTATAACTGAGAAGTCAGGTGCCCCTGAGTTCAATCTCCAGTACCTAAATAAATGAGTTCATTCCAGCCACATTTGGTTGTCTCTTGCTTTTTGTTCTAGGCTCTCTCTGGATTCATTTCTACTAGGTTTTAATCAGAACCATGTTGTGAAACATTTTGGATTCAAATTAGAGTTCAAAACAAACAACTCTGAGAGAGTACAGATGAAACCCAGAACAGAAGATAAACAAGAAATAATATAATAGCATTATAAAAAGGATTCTGTCAGAGGGCAGGGACAGGAAGAAGCTGGGGAGGTCATATAGAAACAGCCCCCTCAGAGAAGGAGCCAACCAGGGAAAGGTTTCAGGCAGCCAGTGAGTACTCATATCAGGGTCTGGGTTGGGGTCCTTCCACTTCTGACCAACCTGTGGTCCAGAAACAAGGGTTAGTAGTGGCCCTGCCTCTGGTGAGATAGGGTGGAATAGTTCTTATGGGCAGATGCAATTCACTGTATGCCAAAAGGGCCCCTAGGAAGTGCTGTCTCTCCTGCATCCCTTCTGTTTTCTGTGCCCTTTCCTCACTCTTCCTTCCCAGAGTTGTCCTGGCCCCCACTTGTTCTTGAGAGCCAGAGGTCTAGATGCTCAGAGTGTGCGAGAAGACATGTATCGGGTATGAGGCCACCCTTTCCATCTGCCCTCCCCGTGTGCTGTAGACATTTCAGACAAGTGGTCATGGGTTAGAAAATGTTGAGAGAGAATGCTTTTGCCAACTGTTATGTTTAATTTATTGATTTGATTTAGGAAATATATGTACATGTTAAAAGACATTTTTCATAAAGTGTAAGAAAGTATACAGAGAAAAGTATCCTTCCCATCCCTGTCCCCTGGACCCTCTACTTGTCTTCAGAGGGTACTTACTTCACATGTCCCTCTTCAGAGGTCTTGTGCTTATCATTGTTTCCTTTGAAAATTATGTTCCTTTCACTTTTGTTCCCGGAGTACTGGATCTACAGCTGTGTTATTCCTGTGTCTAACTCTTTCTCCATATCTCTCCCCCTCTCAGATTTTGACCCCTGGTGGACAAATGACTGTGAGCAGAATGAGTCAGATCTCATCCCTCCCAACTGCACTGGCTGTGCTCAGAAATTACCCCTCAAGGTAATACTCCTGGAAGATACCCCCAAGGAGTTCGAGAGACTCCATCCTCTGGTGATCAAGGTAAGAAGACTGAATCTCAGGCTGGGGTTGTGGCTCAGTGGTAGAGCGCTTGCCTAGCATGTATGAGGCGCTGGGTCCAATCCTCAGCACCACGTATAAATAAATAAGTAAAATAAAGGTTCTGTGTCCCTCTATAACTAAAAAAACTGAAAAAAAAAAATCCTGATTCTCTCACTGAGTGATGGTTTGCTTTCTGTCTCACCAAGTCTGGACAGCCCCTATTGTCTGAGGAGATTCAACATTTTTTGTGCCAGTATCCTGAGATGACAGAAGGCTTCACTGAAGGGTTTTTTGCCAAGTGGTGGCGTTGCTTTCCTGAGCRGTGGTTCCCCTTTCCTTATCCATGGTGAGTATGGAAGGGCACTTAGCTTGTGTGTGGGGAAGAGGTGGGCTAGATGTCCAAACAGTGGGAGCCACTGAGCCCCTGCCACGTGACCGCACCGAGTACTCACTTGACAGCATACAGCCAAGGGAGAGGAGTTCTCTGATAAACTAACCAAATGGAGCATGGTCAAAAGAAGGGCACCACCATGGGGTGCCTAATAGAATCATGATTTATTTCTAAGTATGTGTTAATAGAGACGTGTCTGGAGGATGGGTCCTGAGCACTGGGGCCGAGGAAAGAGCGTGAGGAGCAGGAGGAGAACTGCATTTCCTGGCACTTGCTTGTTCTAGGCAGAGTGTTTTGGTGCTTAGTGTCTGTTGCTCATTAGTGACACTCACAATAGCTCTGGGAAAAAGAAATTATAATTGTCATTTTTCAGATCAGAAGAGTGGCAATCAGAGAGGCTCAGTAACTTGCCCAAGCACACCCCATCAGGACTGACACCCGTGTTGGTTTCCCTATTCCTTTCTGCGTCCTACAGAAGACACTCCATGGCTTCCAGTCCTGAAGATAAGCTGGCTGGCCCAGTCGGGTCCATTCCTTGGGTCTAAGGTTGCTCTCTAACAAGAAAACAAAAGCTGGTTTCTATCCTAGAACTGTTTCAAAGGAGAATTAAAATAGCTTTCTCGGAATTCTTCCGGATAATTTCTTAATACATCCTCCTAACTTTAAATTTGCCATCTATTTTTGAGATAGAATGCCCAGTTTAACAAGCTCATCAGGCCTCCCACTCTGCACTGGGAAGAAGGGTCATGCTTTTTTATCCCCTCCTCTCTCCTTCCCTCCCCCACGTGGCCTGCTGTTTTTGTGATCTCTTTACAAGGTAGAATGAATAGATCCTTTCTTTTCTTTGTCTATACATTGTTTTAACTGGACTTTCTAGACATACCACCCACTCATAGAAACCATGGCCATAGGGTTTATGCGTGTGTGTGCATGTTATAATTCATTTTTTCAGCTTGACTCTTCTTCATGGACCTAGAACTTAAGATATTATACTGTTTTCTTTTCCTCTTTACCTACCACCCAGTTCCCCACCCTTGCTTAGTCCTCTGTTAGTAGATAGGCTGGATGGCCCAGTCTGATGATGTTTTTCTGTTACAAACTTTTACAGGAGAAGACCTCTGAATAGGTCACAAATTTTACGGGAGCTTTTTCCTGTTTTTATCCACCTGCCATTTCCAAAAGATGCCTCCTTAAAAAAGTGCTTCCTTCTTCACCCGGAACCTGTTGTGGGGAGCAAGGTAGGAAATTTTGAGATGACTTGGATCTAGAACATTCTTCATTTGGGATCTGGATTGGTGTCATAATCAAGGCCTTTCTGGTATATTGACTTAGAGGGTGAATTGAGGGGACACCTACATAATCCAAAGGTCTCCCTTCTGCTGCTAACCAAGAGACCTGCAGTGGCCCACCCTGTTATAAAGGCATGTTTCCAGAAAGTTTAGGTATCTTAAAAGCCTGTTTCCTGTCCTTAACATGTAGGGGCAAGCTACTTTTCTATATTGAAGGGAGTAGAATTGTAAATTTTGAAGGGACTTGAATGTGCAGTGAGTCTGACTTCTCTACCCCAAATTATAAAGTAGGCAAGCCATAGATGAATAGTATATAAATGAATAGTCCAATGTTTCCATTTTGTAAATAAGGAAACTGAGTCCCAGAGAGATTTTAAGTGATCTGTCCAAGGTCGTGGAGCAGATTAACAGGAGGATTCCTTCAACCCCCCACTCCCAGGGTAGCTGGCTTTCCCCAGAAATAAATAAGAAAGCCAGGCATCATAGTTTATGCCTATAATCCCAGCTACTTAGGAGGCTGAGGCAGGAGGATGGCAAATTCAAGGCCAGCCTGGACAACTTAGCAAGACCCTGTCTCAAAATACAATAAAACAAATGGGAAAGTAGCTCAGAGACAGAACATTCGAACATTCCTGAGCTCAACTTCCAGTACCACCAAAATAAAATAAAAACAAATGAGAACATTCAAGCCGGGTGTGGTGGCACACACCTGTAATCCCAGCAGTTCAGGAGGCTGAGACACGAGTTCAAAGCCAACTTCAGCAACAGTGAGGCCCTAAGCAACTCAGTCCTGTCTCTAAATAAAATACAAAATAGGGCTGGGAAYGTGGCTTAGTGGTTGAGTGCCTCTGAGTTCAACCCCTGGGACGTTCCCCCCCACACACAAAAAAAGAACATTTAGGTAGAGAACTGGAAAGGCAAAAGCTTGGGAGCCTGGGGAGGATCTGCTAGAAACTTGGAGAAAGTAAGTGTCCCACTCAGGGTGGAAAGGCCCACTCTGCACCCAGTGTTTCCCACCTTGGTCCCTAGCCAGTAGACTGGGAGAAGGTATTCTGTGTTTGTGTCTATTTACTTTTCTCTGAATTGTTCTTTTATTGAGTTTCATTCCTGAGGAAGATTTTGAGCCTTTATTGATTTGGAAGAATTAAAAGGATGAATTTTGTAAAAAAAAAAAAAAAAAATTAGGGATGGGGGTACATCCCCAAGGTAAAGCTGTGCTTAGCATGCTTGAGGCCCTGGGTTCAAACCCCAACACCACTTAAAAAAAAATAACACAAAATTTAAATGTCCCAAACTGTGATTCCCTATCAACTCTGGGTTGTGTCTTCAACCTCCTGATACTCTTGTTTGGCTCCAGATTTGCTGAATTGTGTTGGAAAAATTTAAAAACCTATAAAAACAATCATTTTGTCTAGAAGTAAGAACTTTTGTCTGCCAGCAGTGGGGAGGTGCTGGGCTCTTGCCTCAGACTTTACCGGAGTTTATCCTGCTGTCCTTGACTAGAACTTTGGCCATAGGATGATTTCATCTTCATAATTATGATTTAATTCTGGGCGAGGGCCTTTATCTCARTTTTCCCACTTGAATATTGAAGATAATTTCACCAGCCTGCTTAGCACCAAGGAGCCCAGCCAACCAAGTAACTTGAGTTACTCAAATGGCTATCGAAATCATCTTATTGTGGTTCACAAGGATGTTTTGGGAAGGGGAGTGGCCCCAAAAGGCAAAAGTCCTGAGTCTGGTTTCTTGGAGCATCTGTTTTCCCACCCCAGCCCAAGCTTTCCTTTTTCCCAGCCTTGTTACTCCACCCAGTTCTCCACATCCCTGTTCCTGGGCTCTGGTAAAGTCAAGGTCTGCGCCCAGCATCCCAAAGCAGGCTTAGGATAGAAGAGGGGATCTGGTTCTTAGGAGTCACTAGGGGAAGAGATTAAGTCTAGCTCCACCCACTCCACAGTGCTGCCTGGGGCTGGCCTGCATCTCCTGTCTCTCTGTTTCCACTCTAGGTGTGAAGGAACATGCCCCCACCCCTCTCAGGCCTATGAAAGAAGACTACACCCACTTGCTTTAGGTCTTTGGGATTTTTTTTGTAGACTACAGATATCAGGGCTTCTGTGGTGTTAGCACCAGTCAACTGCAGGCCAGCTCAAGGTACCAAGCTCCCTCCTGTCACTACACCATTTCACTGAAATGGCTCTAATATGTCTTAGAAACAAAATCATAGCCAGGGTTGGACCCAGAAGAAGATGAGACCCAAACCTAGAGTCCTGGAATGGAAAAGAAAAACCAAACCCAGGGAATCCAACTTGTGCCATCTGTTTTATGTAGGCAGGAGCTCTACTCTGAAGGGCAAGAGCTTCAGTTGGGGAGGCGAGGAAGAGGAAGCTCTAGGGGTTTTTTTGGAGCTAGGGAGAAAAACCAGAGTAAGTCCCACTTTTCTSCATGTCCCTATTCCCTGCCCATCCACGGGCTTCACAACTCCGTGCCTGGCACACAGCAGATTGTACTTAGTGCATATTGCTGACAGTAGTTACCTCTGCAGGTGCATGTCTTGATTGTCTCTCATTTTCAAAATCAGAGGCCAGGCTTATTGTCATTGGGTTTAATTAGTAACATGGCATATCTGCTTACCTGGGTCTTGCCAGATAATTTGAACTTGCTGCTATGCAATTTTTATCAGAATCCTGATAGTAAGAAATGATAGTCCATAGAAGAGTGCCTAAAGGATATGCATACCTGTTTATCTAAAATATCTGGATTAAATCAGACCCTTAGAAGATTGTATACTTAAACCACCACAGGTGGGCCTCAGACAGAGCCACTTTTTAAAATATATATTTAGCTGTAGATGGACACAATATCTTTATTTTTATTTCTTTATATGCRGTGCTGAGAATCAAACCTAGTACCTCACTCATGCGAGGCAAGCGCTCTACCACTGAGCTACRTAACCCTAGCCCAGAACCACATTTGTTAAATTGTGGTAAGAAGATAGAGGATGTAGCTGAGTGATACAGGGCTTGCCTAGCATGTGCAAGGCCTTAGGTTTGATCCCCAACTCCTATCTATATTTATATCTTTATGGATATCTGTATATGTATACGTGTGTGTGTGTGTGTGTGTGTGTGTGTGTGTGTGTGTGTGTATATATAGCAAGAAAATATTTTGCCTTTGACCTACTTTGAAACTGTGGATCAAAATAGTTGCAAATTGTGAAGCTCATTGTTTTAGTCAGCTTTTTCACAAACAAACAATTAGAGTAGGAAAAGTTTATTTGGGGCTCACAGTTTCAGAGGTTTCAGTCCATAAAACAGCCAGTTCCATTCCTCGGGGCTTGAGTGAGGCTTAGCATCATGGTGGAAGAGTGTGGCAGAGGAAAGTGCTTCAGACATGGCCTCTGAGAAACAGCTCTGCTCKACAAAAGGCAAAATATATACCGGAAAGGCACAGCCCCAGTGACCCACCTCCTCCAGCCACACCCACCTCCCTTCAGTTACCATTCAATTAATCCCTATGAAGGGATTAATTCAGTGATTGGGTTAGGGCTCTCATAAGCCAATCATTTCACCTCTAAACCTTGCATTGTCTTACACATGAACTTTTGGAGGACACATGTCTAYGTCATAGCACTCATTCAGCAACTGCTCTGGGCTGTCATTGAGGGTGTTGCTGAGTAAATCACAGAGTGTCTYTTTAGAAGAACCCATAGAAGAGATTTTATCCTGGTTTCAGTACCAGGATATGCCATGCATAGGAGAAACTGTTTTGTCTTTTGGGCATAATTATGAATTTTTTGTTGGTTCTCTTTTCCTCTTTGCTTAGGCTGCTAGGAAACTCAAACCATATGTGTGAGGATTTTCATGTACTAATCCTCAGGTTTTGTTTTCTTTCCCTCCTCGCTCTTTCCTCCAGATGCATACGGTGCATGACCTATTTACCATTGGCAGCGGTGAGGCCATGTTGCAGCTCATCCCTCCCTTCCAGTGCCGAAGACACTGTCAGTCTGTGGCCATGCCACTAGAGCCAGGGGATATCGGTATGTAGGGTCTCAGGAGGGTAGGATCAACTGAGGAATCTTTAATTTTTAACTCAGAAAAAAGAGTTAAAATATTCTAAGTATCAAATACTGCCTTCCCAAAGTTTTTATTAAGTAGAGTCAAAAATAACATTCTTTTATTAACAGAGTCAATATGTTTTAGAAATAAACTTATGTAGCAGAGAGAAATGTCTTCTACATACCGTACTTAGAATGCACATGTCGATTGGTCATAGAACCTTCCAGTTAGAAGGAATTCTGGAAAATGTTTAGATCAGTCCCTCATTTTACAGATGAGGAGGTTGAGACCCAGAGAGGACACCCCACTAGAGTCAAGCAGAGCATCAAGTCTTACATGTCATCTCAGGTGCAGGCAAACTCTAGGTAGGGACAATTCAAGATGCCAGGAAACTATATACCTATTTTGCAAATAAAACAATGCAAAGCAGTATACAAGGGTCACACACGGAAATGTTACCTCTTGTGTGGGTTCCACAGCCAAGTCACAGCCTCACACCAGTGACTCACTCTTGACTCTGGCTTCATGTTTTCCCAGATGAGACTTATCCTGTGCCTTATATTCTAAAAATCTTTTCCAAAGAAACAGGTTTGCATCAACTACTGTCAGTAGCAATTAGTGTGAGAGCAGTCTTGTTGGCAGAAGCAACTAAAACAGCAAGTGTCATCATTGACCTCTTTGTTTTTCCTGCCTCACAAAACCTGGGTGAGGCCAGCAGTCCTCGACAGAGCCCAGACTAGTTTTCCAGTTGATTTCATTTTATTCATTCAGAAAACCTCAAATTCCTACAAACATCTCACCTCATTTGTGGGGAGTAAACTATACCAAGCTTTACTCCAAGTTACATAACCCTTATTTTAGTTTAGACATGGAAAATAACTAAAATGTACAAATTAAGCATCAACTAATAATGGAGCACAGCTGGCCTGGTGCTTGGGAAATGCTTACAAAAAAGAGGATTCCTGAATGAAAATTGTTCTGAACCTATTTCCTATACTACAGTGACCCTTACACTAAGGGTGATTATTGCAGAAATCTGTGTATTGTGTTTGGAGTTGGTGTTTGTGCTTGAATAGGTGTCTTATGTTCTACAAAGGCCTAGCAGTTGAGACAACTATAGAAACCCCTTAGTTATCCACATTCCAGATTTTCAACTCCCACAAGCATCCAGAGTGCCAGTTATAGAATTAATTTTCAAGGGGGKAATAAGGTATCTAGCAATAATCAAAGAGACTTTGAGCATCAAATGCTGCTGGTGCAGATAGACCAGAATAGCCTAAAACCAGAACAGTTCACCTTCCAAGTTGTGATAGGCCAGTTTGTGAACCAGAAGGAAAGGAACCTTGTGGTTGACTGTGTCTGTAAAAGGTCATCCACATGACTGGGACATGGAAAAGGCACAGGAGACTGAGGAGAAAAACAAGCTTGGGAGAAGAAGGAAGGGAACGAGGTAGGGAGGMCAATGAGTATCTGAGGTATGGCAAGAATAGAAGCAATGGCTACAGCTGCCACCATTCAAAATAAGGACAGAAAAGCAGCCCTGACAAGGGAGAATAATTCAATGGTTGTAGGATAGTGTCAACTTCAGTCCCTTATAAATTCTAAAGAACGGTACTATGACAAGAAAGTTCTTTGATTTTTGACAAAATATTGTCCTATGGAGATGGGGGGGAATTAGGTCACCAGTCACCAGAAAACCTTGACTTGGAKGCATTTTCCAGGGTGACACACAGATCAGGCACAGCATTCGCAGTCACTGTATATAGTACAGCTCATTGTGATTTTTACTGAGTCATCAAGTGTAGATTAAATTCTATTCCGTTTTCTTAAAGATGAGTAGGAACCATACTCTAGAAAATTCTTCATCAATAAGGTTTTTTGCTTGTTTCTTAATGTTATTGTATTATGGTAAAAAGAATTAACATGAGATCTACCCTCTTGAATTTTTAATTGTAAAAGACTGTCATCTTAATCATAGACACAGTGATGTCGGCATCATCAGATTATCGAAGTGTCAAAGGTYTTAAGTTTGCCTTCCTCACCCACTCAAACAACATGGGTTCATGTGTCTTTGGATTGCTCCTGACTCCAGCAATGGGAATGGCAGTTCCTAGAGAAGGCCCTTGGCAAATAGGGTTTTTGAGTCAGTAGAGTCCACATGCAGTATACATCAGTGTACCAAAGACTGAAAAGCCTTGGAGGAATCTGCTGTTCCTCAAACTTACTTGACTGTGGAACCTAGTTTCTTTGGAGTGTCTTATAAGACATTACTGTTTGCAGAATGCAATTTGGGAAATGCTGATTTAGGGTAATCTGGACAGGCTATGATGCAATCATGTCATAGATGGCCTGAGAAAAACTGAATAGTAGGTCCTGCCCCCTCTCAGACCCATCCTATCTTGCTAAGAAAGCTTGAGCTCAATCTGAGGCTGAGAATTGATTGCCCAGGGGAGGGCGGGAGAGAAAGCCTTTTGGTTCAAAGTAGCACCTGTTGGATGTCAGGTTACAGCGAGGACCGAACAATACTTACACTAGGAAGAGTTAAAGATCTTCAGTGTAAATCCCCGTGGACTCTGCAGGTGGCCTGCCTGGCTCTGCCTGCAGGTGCGCTGGTCTGCTGATATTCACGTGCTTTCTTGTTGCTGTTTCCCTTCAAGGCTATGCTGGTGCCACTCACTGGAAGGTCAACATTATAGCCAGAGGGGTGCAGCCTTTGGTCGTCTGTGATGGAACCACTCTTTCAGAACTATAAGAAAYAGAACTATATACAGGAACAGCTCTGAGAGCTGAAAGTGGGGGGAATAAAAACAAAAACGATGAAACCACTTTCCAGGGGCTGGTTGCTTAGTTCCCGGCCCTTTGCATGCACATGCTAGTCACTGCTGTGCTGGAGACCAAGGCSAGGGCCTGACTTTCTGGACTCACYCAGATGGCTTAGGAAGGACTCTAGCCTGGCTTCTTGGCCTGGACTTTGCCAGCACCCATCTGTGAGAGACTGGCTTTTCCAGGCCTGGAGGCTCCCTCACAGGCAGGAAGTAGGGCTGCTGCCTCCCTCCATTTGTGTGGACACGGTCCCCTCTGCTGGCTCCGGGCAATGGAGAGGGCAGCCARTGGGTCCTGACGTCAGAGCCATTCTTCACCAGGTGGGCCTGCTCATCTGCTGACTGCCCGGCTACGTTAGCCTGAACATCTTTTGGAAAGCCTTGGCTGATTAAAGAAATTGCTGCAGTTTCTCAAGCAAAATAGAATTTAGAACCAATGAAACATTGGTTACATTTACGAAGAGCATCTCTCTCCCAGTCTGCATGGATCTGGACGTCTCAGGGGTGCCAGGCTGCACTATGATTAAAATTCCAAATGAGTATTCCTAAGGTGATACTTTTCTCCATTTTATCAGGTTGTTATCCTAYCCCACCTTGCCCATCTGGATGGTTTCTCAGAAGTTGGGCTCCTAGTCCCCTCCCTTGGCTGGGCCAGAGCCCTTCCTGCTGATGCAGCACTGCCCCTGTTGATTGTTGCTTTTACCAAGTGTCTTCAGAGGGGAATGAGTTAGAGTCGCTGGCCTGGGAGAGGGTGCCTCCCTGGGTTTGATCTTTAGGATCTGACTTTGTACAGAGATGTTTTGCAGATGCGTCAAAGCTGATGTTGTAATGTGGTCGGGGAAGGAACTCGAGACCCAAAGTGTTTGCCAGCTGGGCTGCAACTGATTTTGTGATCCTTGGTCCTAAAATGAGCTCCCTTTGTACTGGGAGACAAGGTGAGATGTTATTTTTTGTAATGCTATAAAGCTGTGTTCTCATTGGATGATTTGCTGTGCTCATTGTTTTCCGCCAAGTGCTTTTGGTATGTGTTAATCAAATAGTATAAATAAGAACACTTTTCTTGTTTCCTTTTCCCCCTTATTATTCCATTATTGACATTGCTAGATCCCTGGCCACTGGTCACACCTCCTCAATGACAAAAAACAAACCACACTAAATTGCAGAAATCAAGTGGATGCACAGTAGATGTCTGTCACAGAGTTATGGACTTGAGGCAGATGGAGATGGTGGAAAGCAGTTGTGCCCCTTTCTGGGATCCTCCTCATCCTTGGTGGACTCCTGCACCTCTACTCCCAGGCCCCCTTTCCTGCACATTCCATGAATTCTGAGCCCTTGAATGGCCTCTTTGTCTGTAGTTTTGTAAAGGACAAGCAGAGTTCACAGAGCTTTGGATGGAAACACTGGGAGCCTCCTCCATGGGTTTAAATGAAACCAGGATGAGCTCTATGTACCTGGGGGAATTTTTCCTTAAAAGAATTATCCCCTTGTGTGGGTGAAGACAGGGAAAACAAAACTTTTTGTACATATAAAAGTCAAAGACTGCTAAGCAGTTATGATTTAAGAGATTTTAAATGAGGGATCATCTAGAGGCCAGCTTGGTGCAAGCCCTCCGAGCTTCTGCAGGGTCCCCACCCCTGCTGCACATGGTGCATGATTATATATAAACAGGTTCTCAGAGGCCTCTCAGAATTTTCTTAAATTAGACCCTTTGAGGGGCTGGGGATGTGGCTCAAGTGGTGGCGCGCTCGCCTGGCATGCGTGCGGCCCGGGTTCGATCCTCAGCACCACATACAAACAAAGATGTTGTGTCAGACGAAAACTAAAAAAAAATAAATATTAAAAAAAAATTAGACCCTTTGAGTTAACAAAAGAGAGCTCCTTAGGAGGGAGCAGAGGGATGGTTTTGATGATTGAGACCTGTGTTGTTCTTATTAATTATCTTGTGTTTTATTACTCATTTTATTTCTGCCTTTCATATCTTAAATATCAATAAAATACACACTTCAGCTCAAACTTTGATAACTAAGAAACCCTTGCACATGTTGATGTTGGAAGGCATCCCCTGAGCTGTTCTTCAGTACAACAAAGAATGATTATAGCCGAAGACAAGCAGCAGCTTTATGCATGTACCACTCGTTCCACTCATTTTCAGCCAAGACCTTGAATATCGATTTGTGTTAAGTGAGAAATTCTCCAAAGAGGATTTTCTGCTCTTAATTACTGGGTGCATTGAAGTAATTCACTTTCTTGTCAAGGTAATTCTCATAAGTAGAATCTACTAAGCTGCCAGCCCTACAGGAATGGTGGGGTTGCCAGCCAGCCGCTTCCTCGTTATTCACGGCTTTGTGTAGGATGCCATGGGATTTCCCCATCAGTTAGCCCTCAGCCACTAGACAGAACTAGCAAAAGTCCCTCTGCATGACCCAGTATGGAAAGGAGGCTCCTCAACATGAGAAAGTGGGGATAGAGGGACAGGGTAGGACCACTTAACCCACGCCCCACCACCCCAATCACAATTAAAAAAAACTCAGAACTCCAAAAACAGGGACTTGTTCACAGGTTTGTCAGGTGTTTGCTGGGAGGTGACTCTGCACTGGGTCGGGTTCACTTTGATGTAGGTTCCCAGCACAGAAATGTGGTCCTAGGAATCGGCTCTCTGGGGAGGCAGGCTGCTTTGGTGCCATTTTGAAGCACTTGTGTCCAGATGTCCTGAGCCTTTCACCAGTTAATGAGTGGACTACACACCTATTCTGGTTTATGAAAAAAGGCAGAGCCATCCTCCATTTTATCAGGGAAGGGAGGATTAAAATAGTAACTGTTTATAGAAACAGAAGTCTACCTATTTGGTGAAATACAAAGCAGTCCGAATCAAAGGGGCAGATTTGGGCTTATTTTCTCAGAGAAAGGACTCCTAATATTTGTCCCAGTTCACTCCAGCTTACAGGGTGCCTCTAGATACATAATCTCCTTTCTTCGCTCAGTCCTATAAAATGGATAGTAGATACTTCTTCTACAAGTAAAGAAATTTGGGTGTTAACTGCCRGTAGGTAGGTAGGTGGGTGCTTGTGCAGCACATTATTTTTCTGCTGCGTCGTAGTGTGGTGCCCAAGAAGAGAACTGTGAGTTCCRTTGACTCCAGTGTGCCCCATCGGGGTGATCCTGAGGATGAGATTCAGCAAGCAGGAACCCTGCAGGGTTTGTTTAAAAACTCTTTTGGACAGAAATGGAAAAGAAAAGAATCTAACCATGTGATTTTTATAAAAATCCTTGCACTTTTTCCCTTCCCACTTGAAAACTCTTTAAAAAGAGTGAGTTGTAGCTGGAACACAACTATGTCCAGCCATTTTCCTGTCACCACGTGTTTCCAGATGTGTGACCAGAGGAGGCACTCTGCCCAATTCCAGTTGTGGCTCCCCTTGGAGTTACATCACTTGTTTTTCAGTTCTCAGTTTTCTATTCCCTTCTTCTAAAATCCAGCATAGGCCTCAGTGTAGGAGCAGCTATTCTAAGGTAGTCTGGATGAGTCTGTTCACTCCTCAGTTGCTYCCACAGTCAGTGTTCAAACCCCAAAGCAAATGTCCACTTCTCATTATCTCCAGCAGGAGGACAGATGCTAGAGGGAGAGGGAAAGCCACCTGGTGCAGGGGGGAGGGTGACTTTGTTCATCTTTTTCAGGTGTTCAACAGAAGGGTCTTGTAGGCTTTTGAGTTCTTCCAGCAATGGAAGGAACTCCCAAGAACACAGTTCCTCATTACCTTTCAGTGGTGACCTGTCCCTCAACAAAATTGGTTGAAAGAAGAGAGTGTTGGAGATGGACTTTAAAATAGTGCTTCAGGCTGAGATTCTCCCCGTGCTTGCACCTGCAGATGTTGTGTGCAGAGACTGTGTGTGTCAGGACCAGGAGGTTAGGAAGGTGAAGGCATGTACAAAGGAGGCCTCGTAGCCAAGGAAAAGTAGGGTGCACTAGGAAAGTGCCAGGTCCCCAGAGGCACATAGAGCCTCGTCCTCCTCACCACCAGCCTCCAGATATCCAGCAACAACTTCCAGAAAAGCACCTCAGGGAGCCAGACAGGTGCTCTTCCCCGGCTGCACCACATCCAAGCCTGCAGCCATGGGTGCGGTGCCACTTTAAATGCGGGTGTGCAGGAGAAAGCCTCCAGCCGGCTTGTCTGCTGGCCAGGTCCCTCGGTGTCTGGTTTCTCTGCCCTGCATAATTTAAGCATTAGAGCTAAATACATCTGTCATTCTCCTCTCCCTGGAGACCGTGAAATGTCCAGACTTTTTCAGACTAGTGCGGAGAAGGAATGTTATGTAACTAAGCAGAGGCCTGGAGCTGTGGAGAGGCACCAGGGCGGGCAGGAGACCCTTCCCTCACCACTGAGTGTGTTCGTCACTTAAGCAGCTGTCACTGATCAAGAGTGAACCTCGGTTCTAGCACCAGTGCAGAGAAGTGGGCCCAGCTGAGTTTTGAGTTCCAAGCAGAAATGGGACACCTGCTTTGTGCCAGGCTCCATTTACCTCATGACAGCCCACAACAGCTGGGTAGGTTGGGGGTCATCCTGGGCAGCCATCTTGCCTCACAGCTTAGCTGCAGCTCTGCAGAGCACTTTTGACCCTTTTTAAGAAAAACTCTCACCTGTCTATGAGAATTGGTGACAAGAACTGTCAGACACCTGGCACTAGCAGGTGTCTCATCATAGGCAATGTTCTCCTTCACCCTTCTTTCTGCAGTTCTACTCAGAAAAATGCTGCCTGTATGCTTCTCCTCCTCTCTTCCCCCCACCAGAGAGGTGTGGGCAGGCCAGGACTCAGTGCCAGCCTCTCCCTGCCAGCCTTGGGGACAGGGGCTGGGAACCAGCACAGTTCATCTTCAGGGAACCAGGTTGTGGTGGGTTCAGGTGGCCCCAGTGAGCAGAAGTAGACACCTGTCCCAGGTATGGGTGGTCAAAATGGTCTGAGCTGTTTATGTGTGTCAAGTGCAGAATGTGGACAGTAATTCGATATACTGTGAACTCGTAAAGACCTCACCATGTAAAGAATGTATGTAAATTAAAGTTTTATGTAATGAAAGTTTTTACTTTTTGTAATTAAAAGTGTGTATGTTGGTTGGTAAGAACTCTCCTGTTCTTGGTGTCATTCTTTAATTTCCTATTTTCTCTTGTTTCCTCTTCTCCCATAACTTGGGAGACTTACAACYACATCCTTCTCGTGAGGCAGGTCTGTGGGGCTCTTCTGTGGKCCTCACCAGGGTCACCTGTCTCCATCTGGCTTTGGGCTTCTCTAACAGTCTCGCCCACACTGTATTTGGTGACATTCACAGCCTCTTTATTCCCATTCCAGCCTTTTGCCCCAAATGGCTTCTGATCTGTTAATTCCTGCAAATTCCCGAGGCTCAGGTCTCCTGCAAATACCCTCCCCCATCCGTGCACTTTGCCCACAAGTCAAATAAGCCCCCAGGAGCCTTTTTCTTTCTCACTAGCTTCACAGAACTGTGCCCAGATGCCCTTACAGTGGCATCTCACCCATGGGTGTTCTCACAGGGGGACAGCCAGGCTCAGATGGAGGACTCCAGACCCCCTGCTGGCTCACCCCAGCTGCCACCAGACAACAGGCCACTCTCAGCATTCAATTAATTCAGTGTGGATTTTAGTTAAACTGTTTTTACGTGTTCATCTTGTTTCTCATTTTTACATATAGTTTTATATAAATGCATAAACATGACCATTTCTTCCTTTTTTTTTTTTT